TATAACGGAAATATGGTTAAGCCTTGAGATAAGTAACATCGAGATCGTACTGCCAGGCATGTCCATTGTTCGGCCCGACCGACCTAGCAAGGGTCGAGGGGTGGCTTTGTACTACCTCAACCACCCCCAATGTGTGCTCATAGAGGATCCGGTCACTAAGGTACAGGATTCCAGTTGGGGCCGTATCCGTTTAAAAGGCGACGACACTTCCTCGGTGGTAGGCACTTAGCGCGATCGTTCCTCCACGCCGGAGATGGACCTTATATGGCATTCACACTAAGGTAGGTGATAAACAAGAAGTTCAGTCACATTCTCATTACTGGCGATTTCAACATCTTGGCTCTGGAATCCTAGACAGCTCCTCGAGGACAGTTTAAGGCCGGTCTACAAGAGCTTGTTCCAGTTTCCTGCGTTGTGGCCAAATCAACACGCCTACCCAATTCGGTGAAAATGATAAACTCTCAATACTGAATCGGAGATTCACTAACGAAGAATTGACAGTCGCGAGAATAGTCATCGACGTCTTCTTGGGTCGTATCGATCACGTAGTTCTACTCTTCGAATACATCTGGTATGCAGAATATTCCGTAGAAATTGCCGACCCAACGGGAAAGATTCCACGCTTCGACACATTAGCTCGACTAGGTGAGACGACCTACTAGACCTTTTAGACAGACGAGGCACCAGGTAGTGCATGGGGAAGTTTCCCCAGTCGGTTTAACTCTCTGATTGCCTAGGCACCAGCGACTAGGACATTCCGCCCGAGAAATGTGGTCTCGTTTCTGAGAAACAGGACACACAAGTGTATAGCGGAGCGAAACTCGGCCTGGCATACCTATTAACTCTCTCAGCATGTACGCGAGTGCAGAATGGCGTACCAGCTGAAGTTGACAGTGCATATGGTCTCAAATCTCACGCTTCTGTATCAGCAAGTAAACAGTCTACGTTAGGTGAAATGGGGATGAACCCACCCGGACACTGAAGGAGACGGCTAATACCCTGCGCCTATAATATGCTGCAATACTTCAGTGCGATCATAGGCCACCTAACCCTATGACTACGGTTGCCACACCACTAAAAGTCAATCACATGTCCTCCACGGCGAAAGCTTACTGAAAAAGCTGCACAGCATGCGCAAACGCAGCTCTCCTGGAGTTGAAAATATACACAGAAAATCACTAAGAGCGGCAGGAGAAAGTTTAGTTGAGTCTTTGGCTCGATTGTTCCAACACTATTTGACGAAATGTACGTGCCCAACATGTGGAAACACGGGATGATTACTCCTATTCACAAGGGAAATAGTCGTTCCAATCCCGCTGTCGTCACATCTAATTTGTAGAGAGCAGGTGAATGGCATCGGCGCCTATTTCTCTAAACTGAAAGCAGGCACCAGTAGAGTAATTCTAGGAAGTGTTCTTTGTCCTCTACATTTTCACAAATATCTTAATGATGTACTCCCTGGTGCTACTTTTATGTTTGCCAATGAAATCAAATTTGTCTACTCACAAGAAACTGCAAATACCCAGGATGCGTAAGTCACATCAGGTTGACCTACCTGAACTTGAATCCTGTTGCCAACTGTGGAAGATGTCAATTGCCATGGGCAATCGTACTATTCTGTACTACAAATGACAAGTACCGTCAGACACCCTATTAAAACAACACACATACATCTCACAATATAGGGCAGTTTGCGACTTGGAAGTGCGGTTTTCTGTTGCCTTCATCTACTTTGAACATGGTGACTTTCCAGTTTCGAAGGTTATGAAAACCATCGGATATATATGTTACCATTCTTATCTCACGGAATCTCGCATCCGGCTCTTCGATGTATTTGTATTACTGTGTATGGGGTATTGCTCATAGCGCAAGATCTGGATCTTTTCCAGTTAAGCCCCGCCAAGAAGTTAAGCCCCGCCACCCAAAAAAGATTATGAAAAGGGAGGATATGGAACTTGAACTTTTACTCTCTATTGAAGAGGGTGAAATTGAGACAAGTCATTAATTATTTGCATGAAAAGGTCCATTTTTCGGTGTCTTTGCCTCCAAACGAACTCACACAGGTAGCTGTCCACTAAAGATCGGTGTGTGCCGCATTGGCGCTTATTCTGCATCTTGTAAATGTGCCAGAGAGATTCGATGGTTTGTGTGTGAGCTCCAGTCGTTGGATCCACAAAGTTTTCGGTATGATTAACCGTTTGATGAGTATAACTCATGCCAATCATCGATTCAATGCCTTGGTATAATGCCCACATATCGGAAATGATAATTGAGCCGGGAGCAATGCAGGCCTGGATTGTGTCCAGCAGAGTGACCGCAGTTCGATCTGGCACTGCATACAAGAACACTTCTTTAGTCTCCCGGCAAATCCCTCCGAAAATCCACTGCTGGGGAAGGACTCGCCCTGCATGGTTTTTACGACGTGATATTAGGGTTTCATCGATCTCGACATGTAGACCTGGGCCGCCGACAATTGTTGGAGTCTGCAAAAGCTGCCAGGCGCAAATTTCACGCAGAAAGTTCTTCCAGTCGACAGCGGTCGCGTGGCCAATAGATAACTCCTCTGAGCAGAATTTGATTGTTGTCAGCTTTTTGGACCAGCAATAAATGAATAGGATTATTGTCCTGAAATCCATCCTAGACCGCTCCAGCCAAGTTCCCTTTCGAAGACCGATTTCTTGCCGACACTGTCGGGCATCACACCTCCACCTGTCAGAAACAGTTGAAAGTGTCATTTGGTGTCCTCGTCTACATAAACGTTGATGATGAATCACTCCATGGCTTTGCAAAAAACATATTGCTGTTTCCTTGTCATGAACGACCGCCGAAAGCGTCAGAAAGTTCATGTCAGGTTTTACGTGCGAACGTAGAAACTTTTTGGACAAAAATGACCTTAGAAGCGGATAAGGAGTGTTTTTATGGGGCACGTTCACGCACGTTCACATGCATTACGTACACTGGAGCTGGCAAACAGTGGCTGGGCTTAACTTTTTGCGCGTGCTCTTTTTGCATTAGTGGCGGGGCTTAACTGGAAAAGATCCCAAGATCTGACCAGCATGCTCTTGAGAGGGCCCAGTAACGGCTCAGGAAAAGGCTATGGGGTTATTCTTCAAAGATGACATATAACGAACATTGCGAGAAGTTTGGATTCAACCCAGTCCGGTTTTGGAGTATGAAGGTGAACCCGTTTTCCATACAGAATCATAAAACACCACTTGCACTGTTCTGATATGAGTGTTCACATGTCTTTGAACACTAGATACCCGGTCCGCAACAAAGAGACAAAGGTCACCTTAGCGAAACTTACTACGAGAATCAGAAAACATTTTTTTCTAGTCCACTAATTAAATATTTGGAAGAGACTTCCGTGAAACATCAGAACAGGTTGTACACTGCGTACATTCAAGTTTGCGATTAATGAAAAATTAGATCCCTTTAGTAGTTTGAGCAAAGTCGTAATAACACGAACACTGGTAGATGTCAAAATTTCGTGTTGTCACTTCAGTGCCAACGCAATAACATGAAAATATATACGACGATAGGTAAGGTGAGACCTGAACAAGTTAGAACAGGGTAGGCGGCGGGCGTGACACCCCTACGTCCAGGGCAGCCGTAGGCTAACGAACAACTGTTTCTGCACAGAGTGCGGGTTTCATACGGCTGATCGCGACTGCCTCTGCGAAACGTAGGAAACGGGCGTTAGCATGTCTTAACACGATTGTAAACATTTTGGCCGGATCAAACTGATGACAGGTGGCCAGCAAATGCCTACCTATGGATGAAGCAGGTGGCTTACATGAACAGATGGTATGAGCAATCGACGACTGGGTGATTTGTTGCTGCAACCATTAAGGTACATGTTCCCTTATTCTGGAGTTCAACGATCTGTCGGTACGGCCGGTGTAGTGTATACCACAACTACAAGTAAATTGGTACATACAGTGTGAGTTGGCGCCAATAGGTTGTCTTTCCGTCATTGACGTAACCGGTATTCGATTAGTCCTGTTGATAAGACCAGTTTCAGCTGCATAATATGTCCTCTGGACTGCGGGCACTTGCGGACTCTTGGTCCCCGAGTCAATCCTGATGAGTCGTCCACAGTCCTAATACCCGATCAGCGGCCCTAAATCCTTAGGCTATTAGAGGCTATCGTTATCGATCGCGCACGACCGTTGCTGTGCATCCAAAAACAGCTGACATTGGCTCTAAGCCTATCGGGCTATCTATGCTCACCGTTTGTTTATGTTCCAATGTTGCATGCTTTTGTGATTGAGAAGAATGCACGAAATGACGGCCTCATCTCACAATCTACCTCTTCGGACTTCTATGTTTGCTATCATTAACCGTGGTGACAAGCATTGCTCGCCATGACTCGCTGGTTAAAGTGGTAGAGGCTTCAACTAACATCCCAATTATCCGAGCTCGATGCCTGCTATCTCTATCTGATGAGGCCAAACAAGTTCAGCACTAGTCTATGAGTACAGTGTTTTCGAGGCCGGTAACACTCAATTTTCATCAACATTGTCGGATAAAAGGCATGGGACAGTGATTAAATAGTGACGGCGCTGGCGTCGAAGCTCCTCTCATTGGTTGGACGTCTGAAGCATGGCGGGTGGCACTGGTCTTGAAGTGAGAAAATCGCCCTGACTCATGGGAGCTAATTAGCTTACCTTACAGTTTGATGCAGGTGCATTTACTAGTATGTGAAATTTTAACTCCTTGTTTATTCCGCTCTTTTCATTTCGTACAGTTGCTGGTAATGCTTGTAATGTGGTGAGATACTTAGGCTTCGCAGGCCTCATGGTAAACCAAAAAGTTTGGGACTGATATATTACGAAGTATGTCCACCCAGTGAAACTGTACATCCTCAAGGGTTACTGGTCGGTGGAGCTGGGTCAAACTGTACTTTTATTTCGACTGATGCGCTATTCAATTGTCAGTAATGCAATTTGCCATGCTGAGCACACCTTCTTTCTCCCCTCCATCACTCTCTTTTTCAGGATTGGGGGATGAAGCGCGTCCGATTTTTAGTATTGCGTCACCAAGAACGGAACGCAAGGCAATTCTTTCGTCAATTCTTGCGTCGTCTGAGCAGCCATATCACTGCTGTGCTTCAAGATGTCGAGGGATGCAGGGGAACTGCGATGCGCACACGGCTAGATGTGCAATATACTCGCCGAATTTGTCGTGATTTGCGGCGTATCTCTGTTGAAGCGATTCGAATAAGTACCATACACAAACGGGATATGGGCGCACGGATGCGCGAAATGAACGCCATTCAAAAACGGATAGCGGAATTGGTTACTTGTGTGAGTTGCGGAAGGTGCATTTACGATTTTTCCGGCTATGTTTGACAATGTAACTTGTACTGAAAGGGAGTAATCGGAAAATCTCCTTGATGAAAGCGCGGCATAACAACTAGCAGCAGGGAAGGCCAATTTTGCTTAATAAGTGAGGAGTCGTTTCTAACTAGTAGGTTTTTATCACTGTAGACATGAGCAAAGTCTGTTTTCATTTTCGTACGAAAAGGCCGGCTTCTTCAAGAAGACTCATGTGACCCGTTTGCCCAGTTAGCACACGAGGCGACGATTATTGTTGTGACCTGAACTAATCTCAGCAGGGGTGATAGTAACGAAGCGTAGATGGGACTGGCAGATTTACACTGAATATGCCAAAGGCTAGAATGAACTTTCGCTCCAATTTCTTCCTGGTCAGATATAGCTATCTGTGAAATAAACAGCCAGTAACACTCAGGCCATGTGACAATATGACAATATTTAGAAGGAAACACTCCGGTTACAGTCTAAATACTATATTAACTATATTCACATGGGAAGAACTTCTTGATGAGCTGTTCCAGGAGGGGATCCAAATGATTATACGCCCGTGTTTTCAAAACGGCTTTCGCTTTAAGTACCCACCCCAATATTCCACCTATGCATATGGAACATGCAAGAGCATGCCACTTTTGTACAAATTGATCTGGGCCGCTACAGGCATAGTTTCTTGCATCAGACGAACTTCATATTATTAGTAATATTATTATTATTCTTAGTATTATTACCACGAATCAACCAGGTGTGTTCTAAGTGTTCATGTTATATGGTTCATGGGCACCTGAATCACCGATCATTATTTGACCGGTGACAGTCTGAGTACATCTGGGCAAACGTTAGCATCGAGGGACAGATACACTATTTGGGTTAGAGTTTGGTATACAAAATCCTGCTCTCTTGACATGTCTCTGAGACATCTGGCATTTTGGTCCATATGAATAGTTTCAGTGGTCGGCCATCTGCGAACCATGTTCAATTTTGGAAACGCCTCTTAGCTGGCTCAATCGTCTGAATCCTGTAATTTTTTGTTTCTACGGCGAAAACTCCTCAATTGCCAACTGAAACTCTACCTTGGTATTGCAGTCTGGTAGACAATGATCGCTGCTGTAAAGGAACCACAGTTCGATTTTATGGCTGCACCAGGTTTTACGTTGGACCGCAATTAAGTAGCTGACTCTCCAATTTGTCTGGTAACTGCACCAAGGGCCTATGTGTCTTGTGTTGACCATCGTAGCTGGCTTATGCCAGTTCACCGGTTCTAAGATTCCTAAATGCCCCTTGTTGTTGATGTCGAGACACATCTGTACTTGTCTGGACTATCGCTGCTTTTCGCCTGTATTTGATGGGGCCCCAAACAGACCTGATTTGTTGACCTAGCAACACCTTTGATGGTGACTTTTCATTGCAAACGGGATGCGGAGTGACACAGCACACTTTGATAAAGGTTTGCTCTTGTCTGTGGGACCGCCCCTTCTGCTCTGATCAATCACCGTTTGAACACATCAGTAAACCGCAAAACCAAACCATTTGGTTGGGGGTGGAAGGGTGGTGTTCGTATATGGATGACACCGTTGGAGTGACAAAATATTGAAATTTCTCCAGTATATACTGTGGCCCATTGTCTGACACCAGGTTTCGGGCCTATCAAAAGACTAAGTAGATGGAGCAGCTATTTAATGGTGGTTGTGGTCAGTATCGGGATAATTTCTGACCTTTTTGAGAGATGCACTGCCGTAAACTGGCGCAGCGAGGTCTACGTGAACGTGTGACAATGGCAGGGGGCCAGACGGTTGAGTGCTCGCTAGCCCATCACACAGTATTCGCACTGATTGTGCAAGTGCATGACATCGTTGTGTATTTTCGGGCAATAGACTTAACCTCTGGCCAACGCTTTGGTCCGAGTGATTTCTTGAAGCTCTGCTGAGTTATTCCCTTTCCTTATGCACAATCATCGGCCTTACATCCTCTGGGTATCGGAAGCTCTACTTGTCGACAGGGAACTGCCACAGGCTTGTATGTACGGAAATCACTGACTGTGAATCTGAACTTATTATAGTAGCATGAAACATACCGATTGGCTAGCGATTGGTTGCCTATCGAACTCATACGACCGCGATTTGTATTTCTATCGTGTTTGCATGTTTATGATAGATACGTATGTAGGAAATGAGTGGTTATCTTATTTGAGAGTAGAAGAGGATCGTTTGTTCTAAACAAGCACTCACGAACTGAATGATGAAACAAACATTTCCGATGGTCATGTACGTGTTAATAACTGTTAGAGTCATGGTTCTGCCAACTGGCTCAAACTTTAACCCACCATAGGCGGTAGTCTGGAGGTCAAGTACGCAGCTTGCCCCCATAAAATGTTGCAAGGGGTGTTTGTAGTCGTACTAGCGGTGCGTGCCTCACGCAGTCGCTTTAGTCATGTGGACAGGAATTGTCACTAGAACCGTGTACAATCCACTTGAGCTTGGAGATGGATTTAATGCTAAGTGCCGACCAATCCATGTTCCGTTCTTATCTAGCAGACCATTACAAGCAGCAAATTCGATATCCTATCTAAATGATGGCAAACAAGTTGCTTTGAACGGAAGCCACATCTCAGAAACGATTATTTCTTAACCCCTGACGCTCATATTCTTGTCGGGCGCACTTTACTGGCTTCTGAGTTTAGCCTGCTCGATTTTAGCTAGTGCTGACTCTAAATGAAAAAATGCGCACAATCACTTAGTCCAACCCAAGCACCCACATACCACGGAGGGGTTCTTGGGTGCTTTCAAGTCGTTCTGTCTGAGTGGCATATCACAACTATTGCACAGTGCCTGCATTGAATTTGTCCTTCTGATTTCTAGACCGTGGAGTCGATGACAAAAAGTTCGCAATAATAATTGCTTACTTCCTTGGTTCGCCGGGTCTCATATCATCCCTTGACACGTGATGTAATCGATTAGCTAGTTGGAAGATAAACATACCCCACTGCAGAAAACATAAGCCTGACCTCACCAAACGCTGACTACAGCTGAGACATTTTCGGGTCTACGAACACATAAAATGGAGCGCACATGTTCTACAATTCCAGGCACGCAATATTACAAATGATTATTGTGTTCCACGGAGCAACTGTAGCAGGACTTCAAGTGTGTTGCCATACTCTTACATCTACAGTTCATAAATAAACAAGAGGGAATTCGTCTCACGACAAGGGGAAGTGCAGCTAGTAATCGGTGTGAAGTACGGACCGGCAGATGGCCTGTCTTTCTCACACTTTCCTCAAAAACCTCACCGGGTAACCCTATTACCATGGACAGCCCTGGTAGTTTAACTGTTCGGTCCACTCTGCTACACAACATTGTGCACAGTGCACTGATGTCTCTGCGGTTAGTGTGATGATAAGTTTGAAATAACACGGCCGTTTCACTGCACAGTTAGACTAGTCGAAGAACAGTTTGAGCTACCAGAACTTCCTTCCGTAGCCATGTGCAACCTACAGGTTCAAGAGGAGCGTTTGTTTAGGGTTCCCTTCCTCACCGACTCTCTCGTATAAGGGAATTGACTACAGCCGAACGGCAGGACAACGCATGTGTTTGCCCCTCAGTTTTACTGAAAGCTGCCTGAGATTAATATACCGCGTCCAAGTATAAATCCATCTGTATTGCATAGCTTGCCTCATGCTGAAGTTGATGTTGGATTCATGATGCTTCTTCACCACAGTTCGGCTAGACCAACTTACACTTTAACTAGGTCTTTTAATCTGGATAAGAGTCATACCACTTTACCTGGTTTGTTCAATTCTACTATTCTGCTGCATACTCAGTGTCAGTTTTGCATGTTTTCTTTCCATTAAATTCTGTTTGTTGTATGATGTCCCCGGTGTGGCTGCGCTTGACCGGACGGTTGACAAGGTGCCTACCCTCCACCTCTATTACTGCCTTCAGGAGACTGTGAATCGTTGCTGGGTGGGACGGGGTGCACCGTCCCCGTGGCCATGCTAGGCTCAAAGAGTGGTTCCATCCAGTGTGGAGCGGACTACGGCCCAACCATCGCCTTGTGTACATCTGGTACGTATGATTCCCTACACAGATAGAAATGTATGCTGCTGCTGTGCATTTTGATGCAGTGTGGGCCGGCGCTGTTGCTAAAACGTGGCTACGACGCACATGCCTCCTGGCCTTAATTTTTCGGATTTACACCGGATTTGGGATGTGTGGATGGAGCTGTGGGTGTTGCAGCACAAGCCAGCCATGGTCCCTCTGTAGGCGTAGGCGTTCTGTGGCTGTCCTATGGAGGAAACAGTGACAAGTAATTCGGGAACCAGATGCCACCAACCATGCATAGCTTGCTGAAGTCACCAATATTGCCTAACTGGAGATCCACGCCCACGTGTGCTGGACACGCCGCCAACACCGAGTCCAGGTTCCGGATAACAACCGTGACTCGTTCGCGCCCTCAGTCAGCCACATCAGGCTTGCACCGGCCTTACATCGGGCCCTCATCTTACCCACCTATGTATTAGATGTTGCAGAACCACGTGATGGCGTACAGAGGAGCACATGCAAGCTGGTTACTTTTCGTACTTTCAACTGGCAGATCGACGGAACGCTATTCGCATGTTCCCGCCCCCACCAGTGCACCTACGAGACGAGCGCATTGCCCGAGCACGAGTGAGGTAATCTGAGCGGTCAAACTAGGGCGTGTTGAATTCACAAGCTAATAAGGTGCAATCCACGACTTGTGTTGACCCGCTTAGGTCGTCCACTGGGAGATATGACCGAGTTCGAGCTGTTGAGGTTTAGGATAATCGACAGAAGGATTAAGTAGGTCCCGCGAGTACCACGTGAACAGCTGTTATAAACATTGCTTGACTTGACATAAGCGGTACTACACGGGGATCCCGGTTCGCACATGTGAAGGTATACCGCGCCAGTGACTGCTCTTTATCAATTTAGGTATCAGATAGATGGATTATAATC